CGCCTTAACATGACATTAGCCAAATATTACAAAATCTAACACAATTCCTTATAAAATATATAACAATTACATCAAAATAAAACAAAAAATAAAGTCCTTTCCATAATGATATTTATATAATACATATTACATGAACTACTTTATCTGTCCTGTATGTCCCAATCCCAAGAAAACGGCATAAGAACAGATTTTATGTCCTTTTTCTTTTGTCACTAGATCCATACACACACCTCAAATTAAACCCCCCCCCAATCTCTGAAAATATTGCTTTAATAACAGTTTAAACTATATTTCTAGGTAAACTTTACAAAGCATCAGGTGGATCTCTGTCTGACCGTTAACCAGCCCAGGTTATTACTGTATGTGTGCACTGTTTTTTTTTTTTTTTTTTTTTATTTTTAATTTCTATTTTTTCTTGGCAGTTGAGCTATGCACAATCTTTCCTTAACCCTATGGAAAATGCAACCCCCTGAAGTACCCCCAGTGTTCGGGCTGAGGCTTTATTACATGTGCTCAATCGGTGATTCAATCAAAGGGTGATTTTAAAAGGTGTCTGCATCAGACCGTACAGTACACAGGGTAATGCACAGATGAATAACAGCCCCTGGGAGACTCAGCAGCACCGGGGCAAACAAGTGGATACAAAGACGGGGGGGCAACCCCAGACAGAGCCCACTCCCATTGTCTGCTGGGATACCGCGGACAATGCAGGACAACACTGAGATATATGCAAGTACCGTAAGGCCTGACCCCAGCGATGCGCCAGCCCTAATCCCAAACACGATTTCCACTCCTTATACACAGATGATGTCATCCCCCCACCACACCACACCCCAACCCCACTGGACCTTAACGCAATCAAACGTACAAGAACGAGGCCCACAGGAGAATATTCTGCTGAGAAACAATCTGGCAGCAGGAAACTGGACACCCTCTGACTGCATCTGTGTCACAAATCAAAGGGCTTAAAGATGACCCTATCATATCACCACCAGCTTTAAACTTGAACACTTTCAAAACAGAGGGGCCTCTGAGGCCTGTCACTTGCAAGACTAGACTTTATCTTTCAAAAACACAGCAGATGGAAAGTTTACATGTGCAGTCAGGTGCCGGTTGACTTAGTGCACGTCCTGTAAAAATACTTGCAGAGTAAAAGCAGCCAGCCGGACAGGTCAGTGTGTCCCGGAGCATTACAGGTCAAAAGAAAGCCTAACATGCTTCACTGGAAAGAGCGAGAGGGGGACAGTTGCTCTTTAGAACTTTATGTGCGCCCCACCCCTCCCACCTTCGCTCCACAAAAGGGACGTCACCCCTCATCCCCACCCACAAGGAATTTCTCAGGCATTGCTGGGTTCACCATGACAACTGGGTACATAACAAAGCATTTCTCTTAGGCATTCTTCCTTTCACAGGGGAGAGAGGGAGGGGGCAGTAGTCAAAGAAGGGAGCGGCAGGGAGAGAGCGGGAGGACGGGGGTAAAGGAGGAGGGTGGAGGAGCCTGAAATGATGGGAGGGAACAGTGGAGGTTGCAGGGGTGAGAGACATAGACCCGAGCAGATAGAAGAAAAATGGGGAATGGTGACAGGCAAACAAAAAGAGGAAAGAGAAACAGGATCAAGGTGATAGGTGATGTTAAAGGCACACAACACAAGAGAAACAGCGCTACAGACATGACCAACACCATCCAAGGAGGGCGAGGGAGGCACAAAGAATGAAACGTAAGCGCTGCGGATGACTCTAGTCACACATAACACGGCTGAGCATTTGCAAGCTGCGACTTTGAATCTTATGAATCGAATGTAAGGCAAACAGAAATTCATCAGACATAAAGCTGAGAAATCCAAAGTACACTTCGGCTAAGTGAAATAATTATATGATGGTAAAAAGAAAAGTAATCAGAGCAGTCCAGCTGGTGGAGGCCACACACACACACATTCAAATATATCAGATTTGTGCATCTTGATGGGCCAGCGATACAGAATCCAAACCCTGAGAAAGTCCCCCCACAGACAGCTGGAGGTTCAACAGATTATAATGAAATTATGCTTGCTATGAAAGTCTTCTCTTATCATCCAGTATGCGATGGAGCAGAGGGTCACCTGCATTAAAATTCCAGTCCTGTAGCTTTATCTTACACAAAGATGGTGAAGGACGAGAGTCTAAAACTTCAAAACACATTCACCCAGACAGAATCCTCACTTCGTGGTTATATGTGATCAGAAAAAAAAAAAACCTATCTCACAATTACATCTTAATCTGCTACTATCTAAATATTTAAAACGCATTATATAAAGGCCCAAATAATCATTTGAGAAAACAAAAAACTTGATACATAGAAGCATATTCATTGTCTGCCTTTGTCCCAGTTGATTAGGCTGCTTGTCTAACTTGGTTAACAGCACTTGGCCAATTTAGACTCACACTTGAAACTTTTAAAGATCCTCCTCTCCCAGCAGTGACCGGAGAGAGAAAACACCTGATGGCCACCATGTAATCTGAGCATCTGTACGTCCTGCAGTGTGATGTGAGCTGAATCAAACTGCCATCATTAGTCACGGAGGCGTGTTGGTCTGTTAAATCTCTGCATTGGTGTTTTCAAAGTGATATTGGCTTGGACTGGGAATTTGATTAAAACAAGGACAAAGTACCCTGATGGCGTAGCTGAGATAACATATACACCGTCTACTTCCCACAGCGAGAGCTCAAATCTAACTGTGTCTGTCCCACAGAGTCAGGCACAAGAATCGATGTATCCATGTAATAGTGACAAAAAAACAATTACAGATGAACCAGACATTTAAAGTACTAAGAGGAATAACATGTTCAAAGGTTTTAAAGGATGAAGGATTAGTTATATATTCTATAAGAACATGAACAGGGCTTTAAAGATGAAAGAAAAGCAGGAAAATCTAACGCAGACACCCATTTATGCAGGCTCATGCTTGCCTGGTGACAGTAGATCAGCCACTGAATGTGTCAACACTGGTCTCACACATCCCAGGATACAGATGCAGCACATCTAATCCCACTGATGACATCCCACCTCTGTCATCCTGCAGTGTGAACAGAATTTACTTCACAATCCAGAAGTGACATATGATGAAAATAATCATCAGTTTTGCGTTCAACACGACAGAAACTCGCCTTAAACAAATCACTGAAGCCAGCTGTTTTATCACATTGATAAATTCAGACATAATCCTAATAGAAATAGACTGAGTGAGTTTTGGCTGCACCTATATATGGAACTGCTATTCCTAGACTTTATCCCCTCAGCTGTCTGTCTTCTAGTTAACATAGAAAGAAAATCCAGATGGGATTGAAGTCAGTGATTTTACATCTCAGTTTGAGTGAGAGTCTCATCTGAACAGTGACTTCTATACCCAAATCTAGTTAACAGAAGACACTTTAAAGCCAAGTGTAGCCACATTTGAACCATTACATCTATTTCAGGGTGAAGGACAGTGCTCCGAAATGTTAATCACAGTCCAACAACATACAAAAGAGCCCATCAAAAATCGTTCATCATACGGGGCCTTTTAAACAGCAACATAAAGGGGAAGATAATGGGAAGCCTTGGGAGGTCCCTGAAGGGAGAAGCCTTTGAAAATTGGGGTCAGCGGCAACTATAGGAGCTCATCTTCTTACCCCATCTCTTCCTTTAACTGTCTACTGCTGCTCCTGCTCTCTTACAGTATGACTGTATGTTCCAGTATGTCTGCAGTTTACACAACCACAACTTAACCCTCCACAGCTTCCCCCCTCTGTCCTCCTTCCTCCCTCCTTTGCCTCCTGCAGGGGTGCTGACACATAAACCCCAGCAGGTGCGGGAGGTGCTGGGGAGACACGGCCTCTAATTGGTCCTCGGTGGAGTAACAGCTGTTGCCCCCAGCCACAGCCTGGTATGAGCTCTAGTGCCTACCCCTAAATCAAGACCTCACTATTGTTCTCTGGAGAGACAAAGCACAGCTCCAATCCATTATAACAACAACCCACACTAACTACACGGTATCTGCTCACCTTAACACTGTCTGTCACTGAATCTACACTTCCACTGTCAAAAACTCATGGTCCCCGCCAGCTTTAATTCTCCCTGCTCTTATTATTAATGATCTGAATTCATCTTTAAACTTGAGGTTCAGTCTCTTAATAAAATTCACGGTTCCGTTTTTGTTTTCTTGGCTTGTGCCAAGTTCAAAGAGAAGGAAGGTTTACAGCGGATCACACTGAATCAAATAAACTCCAACTGAGGGTAACAACACCCCCTCCACTCTCTGTGGGCGCAATTCAAATTCTGTCACATAACTGAGGCAAATAAAACTCTGTAATTAGTGAAATTAAAGGGGAACAAGGGCGATTTAAAACATACGGGTTAGGAAACAGAGCACAGTAATGACTGACGTGTTTTAGACCTATGTGACTGTAAGTTATAGTGAACTACAACCAACCAGCTCTCAAACCAGATTAATCAGCATTAAACACTCTTGAGTTAGGACACTGACCTTTCTGTCAAATTCAGTCAGAAAAAACAACAATCCGATCGAACAATACAACACTGAGTTAGGATCTTCACTGCAGGATATGATGGGCAATCACGGAGCATGATCAGTCTGCTCACTGGAGTGTGGATCCCACAGGATGCAGACACGCTCAGACAAACAGCTATTTAAAACTCAGCAACTGACAGAGCCAAGTCAGTCCTGTGTAAAAAAGACAGCTACATAATGAAGGGCCCAAAAATTACAGAATTGAAAAGCTTATCTTTGTGACTTGGCACTGTGAGTGGGGGGTGGGGGTGGGGGGGTTGGCAGTGAATATTAATCCTGCTTTATTAATATTTCTATGACAGTAAAACCAATCCAGAACAATGAAGCCAAGAAAGTCATCATCACTGCCATTATCCTGTGAGGTGAGGTGAAAATGTAACTGAAGACACACTACATGTTAATGGAAACATGTCAGAGAGGCTGGAGTTAGCAAATCACAGAGAACAGTCTCACCTGACACTGAGATCCTCATGGAGGCCTCCAGGGGCCGGTTGTTATCCAGGGCCTGGCTCAGCTGGATCTCCCCTGTGCTTTGGTTCAGGAGGACTAGGTTCAGCTCATTTCCCACCTCGAAGCTGTAGTGGAGCTGATCCGAGACGTCGGGGTCATGGGCGGGGATGCGGCCGATCACTCCGGTGGGGAAGCTCTTCGCTTTGTCAGTCACATAGTTGTTGAAGATGATCTGGAAGTTTTTGAGTACAGGCACATTATCGTTCTTGTCGACAAGTTTGATGTGGACTGTGGCGCGGCTGACCAGAGGGGCAGAGGTGGCCTGGACCACGATGACATACTCAGATCTCGTCTCATAGTCGAGGTCTATTAATGAAGTCAGTTCTCCAGAGAAGATGTCCAGCTGGAACACCTCTGGGATGTTTCCCTCCACTATCTGGTACATAATCTGTGCATTACTGCCTTCATCTGGATCTGTGGCTGATATGTGTGCAACCACAAGACCTATGGGGCTGTTTTCTTCCACCATAATGTCAAACTCATCTTCCTCAAACACAGGCGGGTTGTCATTCACATCCAGAATTGTTACTTGAATGTTTATTGGTGTTTTCAGAGCAGGAACACCTTTATCTACAGCGAAGGCTTGCAGACTGTAAACAGGCACATTTTCCCTGTCCAGTCTTCGCAGCGTGCGAACAATACCGGAGGTAGATTCAATTATGAAATCGCCATCACCATCCTCCCCGCCCTGGAAGGTGTAGAAGACACGGCTGTTGAGGCCAGAATCTCGATCGGTGGCCGAAACCTGGACCACACTGGTGAACACTGGCACGTCTTCCATCACAGAGCCCACATAGTGGTCTCTGAGAAAACGGGGGGAGTTGTCGTTCACGTCATTCACCAGTATCTCCAGGTAGGTGGTGTCAGATTTCTGCGGGATGCCATTATCCCGAGCGGTGATGGCAAGAGTGTAGGATACCTGGTCCTCGTAATCCAGCTCCATCTGTGTGGTGACAGCTCCTGTATCTGCGTCGATGTCAAACTGAGGGATGCTGTCATCCATGAAGTAGCTGATGCGTGCGTTCTCACCCGTATCTTCATCTGTGGCACTTATTACAACAACAGTGGTGCCCACAGGTTTGTCCTCGTTGATGTTGACGGTGTAATGTGAGCTTTGAAAGACAGGTCGATGAGTGTTGGCATCTGTTACGTTAACAAACACTTTTGCAGTGTCAAAGCGGGTACCATCACTGGCAGTGACAGTGAGGACATATTGTCGTTCCAGTTTGTAGTCTAAAGGCAGTGCCAGTGTGATGAGCCCCCCTCCACTCTGACTTGTGATGGAGAATCTGTTACGGGTGTTTCCACTGGATATCTGATAGGTCACCACACTGTTAATGTCCTGGTCCACAGCCGACACCGTCACCACGCTGGTCCCCACGGCCGCATCCTCATTCAGGCGCATATAATACGCCTTCTGAGTGAACTCCGGGTTGTTGTCATTTACATCTAGAATAGTCATGCTAATGCTGGCTGAAGAGGACATGACCGGGTAGCCGTGATCGCGGGCCTCCACTCCAAAGTTGTAAAAATCGACACTCTCCCTGTCCAGCTCAGCTGCCACTATGATCCACCCTGTGCTGTTGTTGATGGTGAAGGGGAAGTTTGGCGTGGTGTCAGTGAGGCAATACTCCAGCCTGGAGTTGTCTCCCGAGTCTGCATCCACTGCTTGGATGTGGATTATAGAGTAGCCCAGGGGCACATTCTCCAGCACAGTGGCCTGGAATGGAGTGCTAACAAAAATGGGTGCGTTGTCGTTGATGTCCAACACCTGCACTGTCACCAGGCCACTGATGTTGGAGAGCGGAGGGCGTCCTCCATCCTGAGCTCTAATTCTCAGAGTGTATTCTTTATTTGCCTCGTAATCCAAGTGACTCACCAGGTCCATTTTACCTGTCTGAGCATCGATATAAAACTGTCCTCTGGTGTTTCCGCTCATAATGCTGAAGTGAACAATAGCGTTGTTCCCTCTGTCCTTATCTGTGGCGGTGACCTGCAGGATCTCTGTGTTAGGGGCCATGTCCTCAGGTACCTGGACCACATAGCGTTTCTCACTGAACTGGGGTGTGTTGTCATTGTCGTCCTCTACCACTATGTGAAGAGTAGCTGTGGAGCTGAGGGGCCCAGGGTCACGACCTTGGTCATTTGCTTCAACTAACAGCATGTAAGCTTCTACCTCCTCTCTGTCTACCAGGCCTTTAGTACGAATGACGCCAGACCTCGAATCTATCTCAAACACGTCATTGGATCCATTACTGTTGAGAATGTGATACAGGATGTTACCATTAACAGGTGCATCTCCATCAGTGGCCCTCACAGTCAACACCTCATAGCCTATTTCTAAGTTCTCCCTGATGCTTTCCTTATAGTCCTGCTGCTCAAAGACAGGGTCATGATCATTTGTGTCACTGACTGTGATAGTGAGGGTAGCCATGGCTGTACGTCGAGGTGTGCCGTGGTCAACTGCAGTCACGCGAAACACATGGGTGTCTTTTGTCTCCCGGTCCAGCACCTCAACTGTGGATACGGCACCAGTGGCCGAGTCCACAGCAAAGAGATTGTTGGAACGACTATCAAAGAGGGCCTCTATGAAATACTCCAGTCTGCCTGCCTCCCCCTCATCCACATCCACTGCTTTCAAAACAACAACGGGAGTCCCAGCCGGCTTATTCTCTGCCACAGACACTTGGTACATTGGGGGCTGAAACTGAGGGCTGCTGTTGATGCTTCTCCTCCTCCTACTCACAATCCCTGATTCAGACTGAGCTGCCTTTTCTAACAGCTTCCCTAGGTGGCCCTGCCTAAAGGGGCCCTGCCCCACACGCCAGTGGATAGAGATGGGGCTGGTTTTAGCATTCAAACCGCTTCCTGTGAATACTTCACAGAGCAGGTCTAGCTCCAGGAGGGTGTCCTGCCTCCAGCACAGAGTCTCAGACACAAACAAGTGCTCCTCAAAGAAATAAAAGTACCGAGTGTTGGTGACCTTGCAGCGGATCAGGGAGCCAGGTAGCAGACCCCCCACTGGAAATAAAGCGGAATGCGCTTGGTGGCACTCTGAGCGGTGGTGGCTGTGGGAACTAAACAAACTGAGGACCTCCACGTCCCACTGTGATTTCCTTTTACGCCTGTTTGAACAGTTCCTACCATGAACATGCACGTCGTATTGGCTGGTGAGAAGGTGCCTGTAGCCGGAGTCCGTGCAGTCCGCCACAGTGTACACGGTGAAGGGGTTGGAGTGCAGCGAGGAGCACTTTATCGAGCCCGAAACGAACACAATGCCCGCTGCCTCGTCCGTCTCCAGAAACTGCTCCGTGAATGTGGGAGCGAGTACCTGATCCAAAGTACACCGTGCGCCGCGCTCCACGCCGGCCACAGCCGTCCTTAGCCCCGCATCCTCACTGATGTGCACGACGTAACAATCCACCGGCGAAACCAGTTTGCACAACCAAAAAAGTAACAACAAATTCCATTTAACGAAGTGCATCGCTCCTCGGTGTGCGCGCTCGGGACTCGGAGTGGTTTCTGCAGCTTGTTTTATTCCTCTAAACTTTCGGCTGATGAGTTTTCCTTTGTTGCACAGGAGCCATGCTCTCGGCAGGCGCACGTCTCTCCTGTCACTCCGGTTGGTTTTGATAGGTAACACCGCAGTAACCTTGTCCGGGCTGATCACACACCCAACAACATTAGCACCTCCACTCCGTCCGCGCAGCTTCGCATGAATGGTTTAAAAAAAAAATGGCTCCGGTTCCCCCTGCGCCTTGAGGCTCATTATCATAAACCTGGGAGAGGGAGAGAGAGAGAGAGAGAGAGAGAGAGAGAGAGAGAGGGCGCTCTGGTGGGTGTGTGACAAGAAAA